GGTTTCACCGTGTTAGCCAGGATGGTCTCAATCTCCTGACCTCGTGATCCACCCGCCTCGGCCTCCCAAAGTGCTGGGATTACAAGCTTGAGCCACCGCGCCCGGCCAAGAGACCCTTTCTTTACTAAAGCAATTCAGGGCCAGGCACATTGGCTCACACTTGTAATTCCAGCACTTTGGGAGGCCGAGGTAGGCGGATCATCTGAGGTCAGGAGTTCGAGACCAGCCTGGCCACTATGGTGAAACCCCATCTCTACTAAAAACACAAAAATTAGCCAGGTATGGTGGTGGGTGCCTGTAATCCCAGCTACTTGGGAGACTGAGGCATGAGAATCACTTGAATCAGGAAAGTGGAGATTGAATTGAGCTGAGATCGTGCCACTGAACTCCAGTCTGGGCAACAGAGTGAGAATCCATCTCAAAAAAAAAAAAAAGGAAGAAGAAGAAGAGAGAGAGAGAGACAAGAGAGAACATAAAAGGCCATGTGAAGACAGAGGCAGAAGTCGAAGTGAGCCAACCACAAGCAATGTCTGGAGCCCCAGAAGCTGGAAGAGGCAAGGAGGCTCCCCCCGAGAAATTTTGGATGGAGCACAGCTCTACAGACACCTTGGTTTTGGACTTCTAGCCTCCAGAACTGTGAAATGGTTGCTCTAAGCCACCAATTTGTGGTCATTTGTGGCAGCAGCCCTAGGGGACTAAAACATTCTCCCTCCCCACAACTCAACAACGTGGACTCTCTCCCTGGAACGTGACCGGGAAAGGCAGCACATCAAGGCACACCTTTGGCATTAGTTAAATTGGGAGGGTGAGCTAAATCATGAACATTAATGAACATCATTTTTTTTTTTTTTTTTGAGATGGAGTCTCATCTTGTCGCCCAGGCTGTAGTGCAGTGGCATGATCTTGGCTCACTGCAACCTCTGCCTCCCAGGCTCAAGTGATTCTCCTGCCTCAACATCCTGAGTAGCTGGGACTACACACACGCACCACCACACCCGACTAATTTTTGTATTTTTAGTAGAGACCAGGTTTTTGCCATGTTGGCCAGGCTCGTCTCGAACTCCTGACCTCAAGTAATCCACCTGCCTCAGCCTCAAGTTTGCTTTTTTTTTTTTTTTGTCTTGCTCTGTCACCCAGGCTGGAGTGCAGTGGCCGGATCTCAGCTCACTGCAAGCTCCGCCTCCCGGGTTCACGCCATTCTCCTGCCTCAGCCTCCCGAGTAGCTGGGACTACAGGCGTCCGCCACATCGCCCGGCTAGTTTTTTGTTATTTTTTAGTAGAGACGGGGTTTCACGGGGTTAGCCAGGATGGTCTCGATCTCCTGACCTCGTGATCCGCCCGTCTCGGCCTCCCAAAGTGCTGGGATTACAGGCTTGAGCCACCGCGCCCGGCAAGTTTGCTTTTTGTTCATGGAAATCAGCTTCATAAAAACCATCTTACCCTGAGATGTAGTTTGTTTCTGTAAATTTCAGAAGTTGAGTTCGGAATAGACATATCCAGGTTTATAAGAATCACAGGCTTCTGAAATATAAGAGGGAAAATAATTTCCTTAGGATATGTGACAGGCGAGGCTGTTTTTAAAAATCCTATTTCTAGTAGCTGGGTGGCCTGACAGAACCAGGTATTAACTAATTTTTTCCTGCACTGTGTTAAATAATTTATTCTTGAAAATGTTAGCTGGGCATAATGCCTCATGCTTATAATCCCAACACTTTTGGGAGGCTGAAGCAGGAAGATTGGTCAAGCCCAGGAGTTCCAGACCAGCTTGGGCAATATAGCAAGATACCTGTCTCTACCAAAAAAAAAAAAAAATTAGTCAGACATGATGGTGCACACCTGTAGTCCCACTACTCAGGAGCTTGAGGTGGGTTGATTGCTTCAGCCCAAGAGGT